TCAAATTCAAAAGCGTTTGTTATGATGAATGTGCAGAATTTGTAGCTTGCTCTTTCCTTTATGTAGTAATCACACCTGGTGTTAATAGTAGACTACAGTAGTTGAGAACATGACTATCTTCCACCTATTTTTTTCTATGCACAGAAAAGGTAAGGATGTACTTTTATAACAGTAACCTGTGTCATATAATAATTGAGCTACATTTTTATTAATAAATTAGCAATTTAACAAGAACTAACAAATCAGCAATACAAAAAAAACACAAATAAAAATAAAGCATTATTTAAACAAGCCAAAACAATAGTATAATGCTATACAAGCCAGTGGAAGAGGTTATACATGAAAGTTCACCAGAGGTCTTCAAATAAGTTGGATAATCATCTTTCAGAGATGCTTAGTGTCATATTCTCCAAGCATGGGGAGAATTAGATAGCCTGTAAAGAACATTCTAATTCTATAATTCTGTAAGACTAATTTATTTATTTATTTATTTATTTATGGGACTTATATACCGCTTTAAGTGCGAGCACTCTCTAAGCGGTGTACACCAGTAAGCAATGTATATATATATTTACATTGCCCCCAACAATCTGGGTCCTCATTTTACCTACCCCGGAAGGATGGAAGGCTGAGTCAACCTTGAGCCGATGAGATTTGAACCGCTGACCTGCTGAACACAGTCAGCTAAAGTGGCCTGCAGTACTGCACCCTAACTGCTGCGCCACCTCGGCTCTTGCAATATTAAAATCAAAGACAGAATCAAGTTAGTAGAAATAGAGCAGCCCTGACTTCCTTCACAAGAGAATTTCATAAATGAAAGACTTGATTCATTCTTCTTTTTTTAAAAAAATCTTGCTTTATAATAGCTGGCTGTTGAGTGTTTCTTAAATTGCAATTTAATAATTCAAGATTTCTTTTAAATTAATATCTATACAGAAGACCTTGCAAAGCTTTCTAAACTTTGTATGTATTGTAATTTAAGAGTATTCTAATATCAAATAATCTCAGTTCATATTAGCCAAAGGATTATCACATACTACTGAACAATGCTTAGCCTGACAATTGTGTTTCTTTGATTTATACTGCACAAGTAGAGGTCATAGAATTCAATTGCATATGATGTTTTCAAGCTGTTTACATAGGTACTCTTTTGTGAGTGGATATATAAACTCTTCAGTTGAATTGCTCAAAGGATTTTCTAATCATTTAAAAGAACCTGGGAAATATAAAAAATTTAAATATTCAGACAGTTGCACATAGTATAATTGTTTTAGATTTTTAAGAGAAGGGATATCACCATTTTAAATTTTTAAATCACTTTAGCAAATATACTGAAGTAGAATACTATAAAAAAGAATCAGGTTAATTGCAGGTTGGCTGTAATTCAAAATATTTGTCTGTTGTTTTTCTAAAAAGAATATATGACATCACAGGGGCATTGTATTTCATAAGTTACAATTCATTCCACATTGTTCTTATTGAACAGTTTCGATTAATGTGCAAGCATTTATGTTAACTAAATAACATTAACACTGTTGTTTAGTTAATTTAGTTATTTAGTATAGGTGTCTACCTTTCATGTTCCTTTTTGTGATTGTTGACTTTTTGATTTTTAAACTGAATTGAATAATGGTTTAAAATTTTGCCTGTTCTTTTGCCCATACTAATTTCTCAATATTTACATTGGTTTGAATTTACAGTTTCCTAATTGAAATAGGGACTCATATTGACAAGATTCATGTTTTGTAACAGTGTTTAAAAATAAATATCTTAAAATTGTATCTATCTTTTTCTTTTAGATCTATTCTAAGGGTTTGAGCTGATTCAGGCTTGTTTATATTAATACAGTAAAATTATTCATATTTAATCACCATATAAAACAGCAATAATAAACCTGCAGCATTTATTAACCCATCTTAACTATTTTAGCCCCTAAACTCTTTTAGAACTTTTTCTGCCAAAAGAGCAGAATAATGTTCTTTAAGTGAATATACCTGGTTAATGTTTATCTTTTTTACTTAGTACAGATGCTACATATCTTAACTATTATTTAGGAGTTCCACATGGTTCTCTTATACCTCTCTTGTTTAAATTCTTCCAGTTTGAATAAAATTATTATTTTTTTCACTACAGTAGTTTCAGACCCCAGTTTAATTCTAGTTATTCAGTTCTTTAGCTGTAGAATAGAAGTAAACATGTTTGGTTTTGACTTAATCTAATGTATTAACTGAATTGTTGTGATTTCTAAAGTTACTATCACTTAGTAATTGTTACAAATCATGGCTTCTGTTGCATTGAATTTGAACAGGAACATTTAAATGCAGATTCTTAAAATTACACTTTGCCTGTTAAGAATCAGAGTAATTGTATCATCCCATTTCTATCGAAGCCTTTCTGATTTTGTTTCAGGGATTCTAAAATGCTGCATGTTAAGATATTAGTAATTAAATGTCAACATTAAATGTATTGTGTATGAAGGGATCTTTTAAAATGCAACTTTAAATGGGGTGTGTGTGTGTGCAATTTATTCCTGAAAATATAACAAGCCTCATGGCTTACAGGCTTAAAATAAGTGACCTATAGTCATGGACATGTTCTCACATGTTGAATCTGGTTCCTTAATTAGTTTGTTCCTACACAAAATATGATTTATATATTATTGCTTTTGTAATTTCTTGGCTATAGTATAACTTAGGAAGAATGTATTATGGTAGTCTCCTCCCTTTACTTCTGAACTTCGATTACTACTACTGTAACAAATGAACTGTTTGGAAGTTTGACTTCTTTAAGTAATCTATTGTATCCCAATGCAGGGAAACGTTTTCTGTTATTTTTAGGTGTAAGAAGTAAAGATTAATTACTGTTTTAGATTAGAAGCATGTTGTGTCTTTCTTAGAATTTCTAAATTACCTTCCTTCCTCCATAGATAGAGAAGTAAGCTAAACATTTGTTCTTCACAAATTCATAGCTATACATTTTTGTGGTTTTGTTTTGGAAGGAGTAATAGAAGAAATCAGTAGTTTAATTTTTTTTCACTATATGATAGACATTTTAGATGGCGCTATTAAATTTATTTCTTCTATATCTCTTTTTCCTTATAATGATAGCTTTGACCAGAAAAGCCACAAGCCCGAAACTCAAAATTACTTTGTGTAAGTTTGTGGAAAACCTTTCTAGAAAGCAACACCTAAAACTCTTTTACTGTAAAAAAAATCTCAAATAATGCGGGGCACAATTTCTGGAATTCTTTCCATCCTCTTTATCAAATACATCTGTATTTTATTCTGTTTCCGTGTTTGTTTCTGGTTTCCTTTTGCATGACATTTAAGTGTTTGCTAATATATGGGTACTGGTAAATGAAAGATAGGCTACATGTCGCTCTGCTTTTGTCCAAGTGAAGGCTTAGGCAGTTTGTAGGGGGGGGGGTTAGATTGAAACAGCTGCTAGGGTTCTGAGCCATTGCTCAACTGCCTGTCACATAATAACACATTAGGAGATTTTTTTTTTTTTCAAATCTTCATTTTCTGGCTTGCACCAAGCTTGGTCCCATTCTGTTCAGTTTGGAGAGAAAGCTGTGGCAACCCACTTTCATACTGTTACCAAGAATATTGCATTGGTGCTGTATTGAAATCTTGAAGATGTCTTTAACTTTAGGCCAGGGGTAGGCAACCCAAAACACTCAAAGAGCCACTTGGACCCATTTTCCACCAAAAACAAAACACCGGGAGCCACAAAACCCTTTTGATATCTAAAATGAAGATAACACTGCATATATCCTTTTTTACCTTTATTATAGGTGTGTGTGTGTGTGTGTGTGTGTGTGTGTGTGTGTGTATACGTATATATGTATGTAGGTCTTGGAAAACCTCAGAAAACAAGTATATATGTATATATATATGTGTGTGTGTGTGTGTGTACACACACACACACACACACACACACACACAGGTAAAAAAAGGATATATGCAGTGTTATCTTCATTTTAGATGTCAAAAGGGTCTCTGTCTCTCTCTCTCCCTCCCTCTCTATCTGCCCTTGGTCTGCCACTCCTCTTCCCCGCTCTCCTTCTTTCTCTCTCTCTTTCCTCTCTCTCTCTCTCCCTCCCTCCCTCTCTCTCTCTCTCTTTCTCTCCCCCCCCTCTCCTATCTGCTGCTCACCTGCTGCTTCAAAGTGTTGTCCAACCAGCTCAGGGGTAGGCAATCTCGTCTCTTTTATGACTCATGGACTTCAACTCCCAGAATTCCTGAATCAGCCTAGCTGGGCTAGCTAGCTCTCTCCTGCCCTTCCTGCTTCCTGCTTCCTTGCAGCAAAGGGAGGAGCTCCGCCCAGTAAGCTTTTCAGCTCCTCGGAGAATATTGTGAGTGCATTCTCTTTTATACACACACACATACACACACACATACACACAGAGAGAGAGAGAGAGAGAGAGAGAAGCAGGGAAGCGCAATTGCCTCTCTCTGTCTCTGTCTCTCTCTGCAAAGGCAGAGGAGGCTGGGAGCCACAGGGGAAGGCTCAAAGAGCCGCATGCGGCTCCGGAGCCGCAGGTTGCCGACCTGTGCTTTAGGCATATCACCAAAACACTAAATATTATTATTTTTTATTTTAATTAATGCTGCAAATATTTCCCATTTGTAAAGTTTAAGAAATGTCTCTCTGGATTTTTTCTTCCTCTGATAGCGTCAATTTTAGGATTGGCAATTCACTGGTTAAAAATCCTGAAAAGTGAGAGCAACCTTTTCTTACAAAATAGAACAGTACCTATATATGTTGCCCCAAGACTATAGGTTTTCTTTTTTAAAATGACAACTGGGAATCCAGAAATTTCCTTTACTTGCTCTCTTGCTAATTGACCGAAATGCAACAGGTAGATGAAGCAAACAAGATGGAGTGGAAGATTAGGTCATTGTAAAATGAATAAGCAGACCAATACCAGTCCTTTGCAAATAATGGATCTGAATGAATGGGGTGTCATTTTTATGTATCTCTTCCATCTTTTTCAGAATTGCTGAGGAGCATTTTGAGGTGGATTACATATTGTGAAGAATTTGCTGAATGAACAAGATCTGACCATGCATAACAAGACTTAAGCTGCCTTTCCTTCTGTGACTTAAATATGCTGCTTTTCAATAGTGCTTTTGTCTTTACAATGGTCATAGCTGCATGTATTCTTTGATCCGTTTCTGATGAATATTATGGCCATGAGTTTACATCGGCAAATGGGATCTGATAGGGACCTGCAATCTACTGCCTCCTCTGTAAGCTTGCCCTCAATTAAAAAGGCACCAAAGAAAAGAAGAATTTCACTGGGATCTCTTTTTCGAAGGAAAAGGGATACGAAACATAAAGCCAAGGATGTAAATGGGGGCGTTGATGGGATTGCAAGTATTGAAACTATACACTCAGAAATATGCCCAGACAAGAACTCTATTTTATCTGCCTATATGTCATCAGACAATGGAACTGCGATCTGTAGTAAGCAGACGGGAGACTTCATAGAATGTCCCTTGTGCCTTTTGCGGCACTCTAAGGAGAGGTTTCCGGAAATAATGACTTGTCACCATAGATCTTGTGTGGATTGCTTGCGTCAGTATCTCCGGATAGAAATCTCAGAGAGCAGAGTTAATATCAGCTGTCCAGAATGCTCTGAGCGATTTAATCCCCATGACATTCGATTAATTTTAAATGATGACATCTTGATGGAAAAATATGAAGAGTTTATGCTTAGACGGTGGCTTGTTGCAGACCCTGATTGTAGGTGGTGTCCTGCTCCAGACTGCGGGTAAGTGATGTGTTTTTGTATCCATGGCTCTGTTTTATCTTTTCTTGATTATTAAATTGCTTGTATATAATGTCTTGTTTACCAGAGTGTTTTTATTTTTTATTTCAAGTTTTTCTTTCTTTTGACATTCAAAAATAGTTTGCTGTTACTTTAATAGCAGAAAAATTAGAGAATTGAGAAACAGATTCCTATCTTCTCCTATCTTCTCAAATGCTAGTACTTCACGCTCCAGAATATTAAAGGGGGTTGTCAAGTTTTAATGCAACCTCCAAAGTAGGTAGCTTTTGACACAGATTGTTAATTTGCTGCATTCTGGAAGAAGGTCTTTCTACATTAAGCACATAAAAAAGGGATTTGCCTCTCCTGTACTTCACATACTGAGTAGGTGGCCCCACTCTTCTGTACCAACCCACCTTCTCATCTGTGTGGAATTCTAGCTTACCTTTAGTGCTTAAACATTTTTAACTTCACATTTTTTTATTTTTAAGTAGTAAATTTAAAGTTTTCTAAATATAAATTGTGAAAGTTGGCATAATTGTAATTGGCAACAAAAATTTTCATATTAAAAGAGCTGAGTAAAATGTAAGAGATCATAATCTGATTTTTGCTTATTGTCGGAGGAATTTATTTAAATATTAAATATATTATTACATATTGTTGCAACTCTTTTTGGTCTTAATTATATAATTTACCACTTAAGAGGGTTTTTTTAAAAAAAAATGTTTATCTTCACCAAGTTCAAACATATTATTTAGGTTTTAATCTACACATTGCATTTTTATTAAGAAACTTGTTAATCTAACCTATGTTAAAAGCACATGTAAAGTCCAGAAGTGCCATATGATCAAAGATAAGTGTAGCTGAATATGGAAAGAAAATACTTGAAGCTGTGTGAAGAAGTGTATAAAATGTGGAGTACATTGATAATTGGGAAGATTAGGATTTTTAAATACTAAATGACAAAGAATACATTTTGAGATTGAATAGAGCAATTAAATTACATTCATATCCATGCTGCCTATATTTTGTATACCACGTTTCTCTTCAGATATGATTATATTGCACAGAACTGCAATTATGTGCTTTTATCATTTGTGTACTGTTCTAATACCACGTGTGAATTTATTCATAAAATTTCATTCACATGCACACAATTATAAGAGAACTTGTTAATTTGTTCCAAAGTATTGTGGTTCCTTAATACTTTATTTTGATATAACATTTAAGGCAAAATCCTACTACTGTAGATAAAATATAATTGGTATCTAACACATTTCAGATAAAGACATTTATAAATCATAATACATGTAGGCTTGTTAGTATGTTGTACTATATAATATTTTCGCAAAACTTTTAATTAAAGTTCAACCAAGTATGCCTATATGAGAAAGATAGCAAATTTCTTTCCGAATTCTCGGGTTTTTATTTTATTTAGCATATGGCATCTACAGAGGTCATGCGATCACTAATATACAGATATACTGGATTGTCAGTGACAAGGCTGAAGTTGATTGCAGACAGTCCTTGATTTATAACCAGATTTATAACTGCAATTTGAATCCACTGATAACAATCCATAAAACATTACCACATTGCTTAGCGATGACCTTTCCTGAAGTCCTGGTTACAAAAGCTGAATCCCCTGGTTATTAGGTGAGGCAACTTCCGGCCAGCTTCCCACAAAATTAGTGAGTCCCAGGCCCACAAGTGGATAAATGGCTGCTGCTGAGTGGGGAAGGAAGGTGTGCAAGGTGAGAGGAAGGGTCAGGGTGGATATGATCGGGGTGCACAAAAGCTATGGCATGAATTGGTAAAGATGTGAGATATGCAAGAGCCGTGAGTTAAGGAGGATATAAGTGGGTGAATGAGAGGCACCACATGATTTGGAGAAGGTGCATGTTTGTGCGAGAGGGTATGCAAGAGGCATGCATTGGTGAGAGTACATGAGAGGTGCCACGTGAGTTGGTGAGAGTGTGAGGGGTATGCAAGAGGTGCTGTGCAAGCCAGAATGGGTGCAAGGAAGGTGCAGTGAACATCAGGGAGGTGTATGAAGGTGTGCTTGGGTAGGACAAGCAGAAGGGCTATGAGAAGGTATGTGGATGAGAAAGATTATCCCTGCGACCTTACCTGCAGGAAAAGTTGCAGATTGCAGTCATATGATTACAAGGCCCTTGTCAACTGGTCATAAGTACAAACAGGTTATCAAGCATCCTGATTGCAATCATGTGACTGAGAGGGTGTTTGGGGGATTGAAACTTCAAGGACTGATCTTAGCCACCATTCATTGAGCCCTTGCATTTTGGAATGATGCTGACCATGGATGTGTGTGGTGTGTAATTTCAAGAACAGGTCATAAATAAGTTTTTATGAGCCCATCATTAAGTGTATTTCAATTTACTTTATTTGAAACAATAGAATTGGATTCAATCTTGCAGAATAGCACAACGATGCCTGTTACTTGAAGTATGCTGAATTCTACTATAGGATCTAAACCTAAAATATACCGTACAAGATTAACTAGAGCTCTATAAATGTTATTGTGTTTCTACTTTTATAAAGGATGATGTTTCTTAATATCAACTCAGCTATTTTAATTGGCAATATGTAGAACTGAGAAAGTCACAGCATATGACAATATCTGGTTCACCTTGGCTGTTTTCAGAAGAGTTAAGAAAAAAACTAGTTAACAATAATGATAAGAGACTACAAAGAAATTCCAGGCTTAGAGAAGACTAGGCATTTGGGGAAATCTTAGAAGAAGGCAGTTCCTGAATATTTCTACATTGTTGCCAAGAAAACATGGATCTATCCACATAATTGCCAGAAGTCTAGAATAACTTGAGGGAGGCTTTATCTTAGCACAGAGAATAAATACTCTTCCATCTATTTTTGAATATTGAAGGTATGCAGTCATTGCTTTTGGCTGTGCAAGCTGTCCTAAACTTATGTGTGGGCGTGAAGGCTGTGGAACTGAATTTTGCTACCACTGTAAGCAGATTTGGCATCCTAACCAGACTTGTGATGCTGCTCGTCAGGAAAGAGCACAAAGTCTACGTTTGCGAACCATTCGTTCTTCATCCATTAGCTATAGTCAGGAGTCTGGAGCTGCAGGTATTTATTGTTTCAATCTAAACGTTAGAAATATTTTTATATTATATTTTGAGTTGCTAGATTATTCATCAGTTACTGACACTGAAAAAAGGAAGATATGAATCTTTTCTTCAGTATCTTGATATTAATGCAAAATTGTACAGTTATGTAGAATGTACTGAAATAATGTGCTGCTAGTATTTGGCATGGTGGATATAATTAGCTTATGCAATCAATGAAAAGATCTGACTTCTGATAGAACTCCTAGTTTGAAATGTCTAGTAACAGACCACACACAGGCTAATTTCAGATGCTAGGATAAAACATGTGGTTTGCTTAGTTTTGGCTTATTGTGTTGCATAGATCCAGCATGAAGGTTTATAAAACATACTTTCTGATTCAGAACAAGATTGCAAAGTTTATGTTGGTTCCCAGGCACCCCTAAGTTTTGCACAGCATATTAGTAATCATATTCAGAAGGTGAGGCAAGACAAAGATTTTACTTGAGGGAAAGATTTAAGCCTTAAAATGTGTGGCTAAAATATCTGGAAGGCTTAAGGCATTGGCTTTGTCCATTAAACTCTGCCAGAAGCTGAAAAGAAAATCACTTTATAGTGGAGGGATATGAATATCAGGCCTTTTTTTTTTTTGCACTCTTCATTTATTATGTGAATCTAAAAAATTATGATTTCTTAATGTCCAAACTTAAGTTTCATTAAGGGGGAGTGAGTTGTTTAAACTATAAGAATAAGAAGGAATTTGAAGAGATAGAGCCTATTATAGCTGAGATAAGAAACCACTGACATGCAGACGTCTAATCTGGTCTCTTGATCTGTTTATACTCCCACTTAGAACATGAAAAGAATGAGTAGTTACTTTGTATATAACTCAGCAGAAGTTCTCCATGAAGAAAAGGAAGTAAGCCATTAATTAAGACAGTGGTTCTCAACCTTTTTAATGCCGCGACTCCCAACCGGTCGTAAGTCGAGGACTACTCAACTGGTGCAGCACCGTTTGCAGAATGGGACTTTTGGCGGGCTCAGCAGGGCAGAGACAGCCTGGACAATTCCTATTGGCTTTTGAAAGCCACTAGAATTAGACTCTATTCAAGAGAGTCTATTCTATTGGCTTTCAAAAGCCAATAGAATAAAAGGGAGTAGCACAGCTAAGGAGAAAAAAATGGCAGACTGCATTGTTTGGCAACCCCCGTGAAATGGTCGTTCGACCCCAAATGGGGTCCCGACCCACAGGTTGAGAACCACTGCATTAAGAGAATCTTTTGCCTATGAATGAGTACTCTGAAAGATGGGAAATAACCTGAACTGAAAAGAATGCTCTCCCTTCTAAAATCGTTATTAATTGATGTTATCTGGCCTGATTGAAATAGAACGAGAAGCATTTTTTACTCTTTTTAAAGAGGTTTTTTAATGCTTGCACTATCACCTTTGCAAATTGTGCTGTATTACCTATCACAGTATGCATTTTATGCTTTTATGTTGGATACTGAAAAATCTCATCAGAGTAGTTTTGGATTAAATGATTGAGTATTATTTTAAAGCAGAATAATTTGTAAAGTTCTGTGTAATGTTTATATTTGTTTTATTTATGTACACTTAATTACCTTTTTGTATTGGGTCTTTCTTGGCTTTGTTGGATCTCTAGGATGAGATATATTTTCAATTTTTATTTTTCTTGGTGCTATTGTATTCCTTTATTTTAAACAGCTGATGACATAAAGCCATGCCCCCGCTGTGCTGCTTATATAATAAAGATGAATGATGGAAGTTGCAATCACATGACCTGTGCTGTCTGTGGTTGTGAATTCTGTTGGTTATGCATGAAGGAGATCTCAGACTTGCATTACTTAAGGTATGTATGAGAAAGAATTTTTTTTCTGGTAACAGAAGTTTAACATGCTTTTTATTCCAATTTGTAATAGAAGCTATGCTAGGCTAATCCAAAACTGCTATTTTTCTGAAGTTAGATACATTTAATACATAACTCTAGGCAGCTAACAACCAGCTTATAGCTTCTCTCCCATAGCAACTCTAATACCAAAGTTAAAATAATTCAGTACAAAAAAAATTAATAAAAGAAACATATTTATTTAAAATATTTGTACAGTTGTCCATTTTATATCAGACTGACAGAAAGATATATGTATATTTGGTTCTTCTAATATACTCTCCCTAATGCCTGGAGGGAAAGCCAGGTTTTAGCAGCTTGCTGGAAGGTGCAAAAGGGCAAGGATTCTGAATCTCTTAATCTGTTTTGCGTAGGCATTTAGTAAAAAGAAGTATGGTGGTTTTGAGGATTTTGTGTGTATTAAAGTGCTGCATAGTATGGTGAGCAAATGCAGAAAGGCCCATCTATTTATAGCAGAACATACGCAAATAACTTCCTGTAGGAGAATACAGTATGTCGCAATACTTGCCCTTCGAATTCCTGTTCTGCATGTTCAGAGAAATCTTTTGTAAATTAGTCATTCTTCTTGTTAACAGACTATGGCAATGTTGAGATCATGGGGTAGAGCTAGTTTGGTCTAGTGGTTTAGAAATTGTGAGGATATGACCTCTGTTTCTATCTTAGGCACAAAGTTAGCGAGATGACCTTGAGCCAGTCGTTCATTCTCAGCCCTAAGAAGAAGGCAATGCCAAGCTACTTCCAGAAATTGTACCTAAAAAACTGCAAGAACTAGTCTACGCAGTTGCCAGGAGTAAACACTGACTCGGGGCCACTCTCCCCACCCACCCTACCTCATCCCCCAAGAAGCAGTATTAGAAATTTTTAGGATTAGTTGAGAACATGCCACTTGTTTATTGGTTAAATTTTAGACAAATCAAATCTTAACTAGCTATCCAGATTTAAAGAGATTTTTATTTAATTTAGATTGCAAACCAGCCTGCCTAATATTGGGTGAGAGTTTTGAAAACTGCAATCCCTTGTCTTTGGGCACCAGATAAAGGAAGGCTGTTGTGACTAAGAAATGTACCTTTGGGCTGAATTTTGGAAATGGTGTAGCTGACAAAAAGATATGATTTGATGTCCCTATTTTAAAATGCTGTTGGATGAGAACTTGCATATCAAGAGGATATTGGATATTCATATGGGTTAGTAATAGTCTAAGTTAAAGGATTTGATTACATATAATTGTTCACTGGTTAATCTTATATATGGAAAATTCTCAGCCCATCAGGCTGTACATTCTGGGGGAAAAAACCATGGAGTCGGAAGAAGAAAATTCTTTGGCAACTTGGGACACTTGTAGGTGCACCTGTGGGAATTGCCTTAATAGCAGGCATTGCTATTCCAGCAATGATTATTGGAATTCCTGTATACGTGGGACGTAAGGTAAGAACCAAATTGATTTTGAAATTTGCATATTTTTCAATGGGACTTTCTTGTTATTCCACTATAACAAACTCTGTTTATTAAAGTATTTTTTCAAATCAGTTCTTACTTGTTCTTTTTCTTCTTTTTAAATATATTTTTCCTCTGGAGTATCAATCTGCTGAGGTTATAGCAGCATTGAAGTAATACAAGGATGAGAGTTATTAACAATACTAGCCAATTATTCTATAGCTGCCAGTTCAATTTCCAAGTGCAATTGAACATTCTGATTTTGACTTTTGAAAACAAAAAAATGGTGATACATTGTTTTATTTTAAAAATCACATTCATCCATTTATTCTTCAATGTCATCATAGCCAGATGAAATTTTATTGAGGCTTCCAACATTATCTGAAATATGAATGGTATTTATCATTGATGAATTATTGTCCAGTGGTGGTTCCAAACTTTGCTGTTTCTTATCTAGGGAGGCTTATCATACTATCTCATTGTCATGCATTTTTTAAAATTTTAATGGGATTCACATTATGACTGTGCTATGACATAACTTTATAGCTTAGCATTTAAAAAAGATAAAAAAATTCAGTTAAACCTGCAGAAGTCTTAAAATTGCAAGCTTGTCAATTTTCATGGAAGACCCAGCGACTTCATTAGCTACCAATACAACATGGTTCCCATAAAGTTTTCTCTGGTCACAAAATGTTTTCAATCGGGGTCTTCCTAGTCTTCTTCCTTTTCCCACAAAGAAAAGTGATTTCCCAAGAAATTAGTGACAAAGATTGTATTTGAGCCCAGATACCAACCATACATTTGAACATGCATGGCATACTATTTCATAACTATAATCAAACACCATTTACATCTGTGAATTCAAATTTCTGTCTTGGGACAGGAATCTAAATTAAAGGAATTTACCATTTCTGACCAGAGATTCTAGTATTGTTGGGAAACTGTCAGCAGGCAAAGAGAAGAGCTTAAGTGGAGAACTAGCCTTGAGTCAAGAAACCTAGAGAGAAGAGTACAACCAAAGATTGAAAATGAAGATAGCAGAGGAAAGGTTTAAACTGGAAAGAAAAAGAAATCCAAAACAGATTTTTTTACATTGCTTTGTTTACTCATCCTGTTTAATTATACCAGTGGGATCTTTAAATTCATTAATTTAAAATGGCAAGTAAATAGATAAAGATAATATTGATCGCTTCTGTATATCATTTCTTCTACCAGCTATTAAATGGAATTTATTCTAAAATATCTTCATTTTTCCTCTTTCTCATAAAGATTCATAATCGCTACGAAGGCAAAGACATGTCAAAGCATAAGAGGAACTTAGCCATTGCAGGTGGTGTAACCTTATCTGTAATTGTTTCACCAGTTGTAGCTGCAGTCACTGTGGGTAAGTATAGTTTCTGAAAAGTCTAGCAATAGCAATAGCACTTATATACTTATATACTGCTTAACAGTGCTTTACAGCCCTTTCTAAGCGGTTTATAGAATCAGCGTATTGCCCCCAACAATCTGGGTCCTCATTTTACTAACCTCGGAAGGATGGAAGGCTGAGTCAACCTTGAGCCGTGAGAATCGAACTGCCGTCAGTCCTCAGTCAGCAGAATTAGCCTACAATACTGCATTCTAACTACTACACCATCACAAAACCATTATATCTTACTAAAAATTTACTAATAACAATATTAGTGATGAGTAATTCAGGACTAGCAGTGAGACTATTTTTTAAAGTTTTTGTTTGAAAAGTATGAAAAATGTAATTCTTCCTCCAAAGTTTGCTTATTTTGGTTACCAATAAATTTAAATAAAATAAAATTTTCTCCAACCTCAGCATTGTGACTGAGACCCAGAAGAGCACATTGTTCGTTCCCAACTTTGCCCAACCAGTTCTCACTATCACACACTAAGTCTGCGTTTGATGGTCTCCATATTATGGGTGGATGAGATCTTACTTTGCCTAGATCCAGCATTGATCAACAGCAGTCTAAGACCTAGAAGCACCCAAGAGCCCAGGCTTGGGGTAACTGGTTTAGAAGGCGGGTGTGCAAATTTGGTAGAATCCTCTTTGGAAAACTAGAGTCTGTATAGTGTTTAAATCTAAATCTATATTCTTATTAATGTAAACTAAAAGCCTTGATCCATGGATAAAAGATTGTGCATGCAGACCTTATTGTGTTTGAAATGAATAGAGAACTAGAAGACCTCAGTGTAAATATGAATTCTTGAGACCAGGATAAATTTGCAGAATTGGGTTGATTATCTTTTTGTACCCATGATGAAAATTATATATCTGTATAAGAATTAACTTTTTGTTCTATTGTTCTATCTTTGCTAAACTGGGAGTTAAGAAATACACAGTAACCACTAAAAAAAGACAGTTGTGCTAATCACAGTATTACACTTTGTTTCCCTGTAGGTATAGGAGTCCCTATTATGCTGGCCTATGTGTATGGAGTAGTTCCCATTTCTCTCTGTCGAAGTGGAGGTTGTGGAGTATCAGCTGGCAATGGGAAGGGTGTCAGAATAGAATTTGATGATGAAAATGATATAACTGTGAGTGGAACAAATGCAGCAGTAGGTAAGAAAGAAGACCTTTATTTAGTTATCATATTTGTCTGGCTACCTATCTCCAAAAAACATTTTGGAGTGTGTAGAGACCTTTTTGGAGAGATGTAGAAAACATTTTGAATTGAAAATAATTCAGTCTTAAAATAGCTTTTTGATATCATAGGAAGCATTCTTATGCTGTTGTTATCCTACCAAAAAAGAGCACACCTTGAAATGAGGAGTTTCAAATTTGAAATATTTTGCATATTTCTGTTTTTGATAGTTGCTGCCCTAGGATTAGCCAGTTTCAGGCTTCTACAGAGCATAATTCACAAATAGCCAAGTTGTTTCATATGTATGTATGTATGTATGTACACAGCTCAAAATACATTTGAATGTAAATGTGCGTATTTGAAAAATATATTCACTATTATTCACATATAGTCAGTATTCAGAGATTTTTTTTTATTTGCAGTGTGTGCTGTATTTTTTAGTGATTTGCATAATCCTACACTTCCCAGAAAAGATCAGTTAGTAGCAGCCTTAAAAGATACCTTCCTTTATTGATGGTATCTTAAGCTTTCCCAGTATTAATTTATCAGGGAAGCTAATAGAATCATTTTCTAGATACTATTTCTTCTCTTAATGTTCTAATGCCATTGATTCAATATTACTAGTGAAATGTTACTTTCCTGACAGAAAATAGAATTGACCCAAATTGTAATCTAGTTTTAGAGAACAACTTTATTATTTCCCAGTACCAATTCTGGAATAACAATCGAATTAGAAAATTACAAATCATTTTGTTGTAGTTGGCATTTTTCTTGTTCAAGAGAAAATCCGGTTCTATTTGGGAAATTATTTTATACAATTTCCTCATTATACTAGCCTAGGCCTACAGTCAAAAGATGACAGCATTTTTTCTTACTATCATAATTGTACCAATCTAAGACCAACATCCCATCAATTCTTCAAGAATTGAAAAACTACAGTTTTTATTACTGTAGCTTCCATAAAAGCAAAGCTTTCTATGATGTGAAACTTCAGTAAATGATATATCCGTAGTGACTTGAAATACCCCTTCTTTTCCATTTTAGACACTACATCAGTAGCAGAGGCACGTCACAATCCTAGTATAGGGGAAGAAAGTGTTGGATTGACTGGAAGCCTAAGTGCAAGTGGTAGCCATATGGACAGAATAGGAGCCATTCGAGACAATCTGAGTGAAACAGCCAGCACCATGGCCTTGGCTGGAGCTAGCATAACAGGAAGTCTGTCAGGAAGTGCAATGGTCAACTGCTACAACCGGTAAGATAATGCATTCCAAGTATGAAACTCTAATTGACTATTTGTTACATAAGCTGTAATTAACAATGGAATAATAAGTATATATTGTAGCCAACTGTTGTAAATTCTAATATCTGTCTCTTGAACATTTGTGGGTACATTCTGAAAACAGTGATTAAATTTCGTTGGATTAAAGGAGAACTCCAATTCCAATGATGGCAATCGATGTGGAGGGATAGGAATTCTAGCATACTTGGCTTTTATATTTAGTATTGGATTATAGTTTAGGGTAAAACATTCTTGCATGAAAATGGGATTGTTGTAAATCGAAAAACTTGTGATGTGCTACTACACTAGAAGTTAACTGCTTATATTATTTAGAACAGTGATGGCGAACCTTTAAGAGAGCGAGTGCCCAAACTGCAACCCAAAACCCACTTATGCATTGTTGAGTACCGGGTGGGTGTGGCCCATTGGCTGGGCGTGGCCCATTGGGTGGGCATGACTGAAGTGATAACAGCAGACTGGGTGGGACTAAAAAGTTCAATCAATCAATTCCAACTTTGCAAGATCCCCCCCCCCCCGCAAGAAGTTGAAATTGACTGATTGAACCTTTGTTTTTTTTTGCACATGGCGGCGGAAGCCTAAAGTGAAAAGATTTTATAAAACCCAGCTGAAAGCCTAGGACTGGGGCGACGGTGCGCGTGCCCACAGAGAGGGCTCTGAGTGCCACCTCTGGCACCCGTGCCATAGGTTCGCCACCACTGATTTAGAAGGAAATAATTTAATCCTGGCTATTTCTCCTATGTAATTTTTTTAGGATCTACTACTATAATTTTTTAAGGGGTATTTCACTTAATTTGCTGTGAGAATTATTTTCTTCACTGGGTGGCTGGTAAATATTTAAAAGATTTCAATATGATATGAAAAATGCAAGTTAGTTATTGAGCTAATACTGAATTTTCACCAAGGTTGGAAGTCCAAGCAGATGTGCAGAAGGAAAGATGCAGTTTGAGTGGCGAATCTGGCACTGTTAGTTTAGGAACAGTGAGTGACAATGCCAGCACCAAAGCAATGGCTGGGTCCATTATAAATTCATATGTCCCATTGGACAGGTAAGTTTGAACTATGTTGGTAAAATCAGTATTTATATCCTGTGTAAGAAATTTCTGGTATTATAATTGATTATTTGCTGTCAAATTGATGTTGACTCTTAAGTGACTACATAGATATTAGTAAGAGCAATAAATAACCATGTCAAGTGCAGAGTATATTTTGTTTTTTAATTTAATTTAATTGATGAGCTTCTGTCATGTATATATCTAGGAAGGCATTTTGTCTAATAGCATGCAGAAGTTTAGGCATCTCGGATCATATTGTATGAAATTTTAACTCTGTCAACTTCTGAAGTCAAAACATGATTTAAAAGTCAAACTTTCCCTTGAAGTCTGGTCAGATCTATAATGTAGAATCCACATATCATTGCAGATTAGTTTCTGAAAAAGTATTAAAAGTAGTATTGATGAATCATCAATAGCAAGATATGACAACTTTTTTCAAACTTTGAACTAATTGTCACATATATGTTTTAAAATGCTCTTTATAACTGAATTTAACTGAGATGAGTTTGGACATGTTCTACCTTAAAACAGAACTGTTATCCTTTTTTCTTACTTAGAGATGGTAGCAGCATGGAGGTACAAGTAGACATTGAATCAAAGCCTGCAAAATTCAGACACAACAGTGGGAGCAGCAGCGTGGATGATGGTTGTGCTGCAGGCCGTGGTAATGCTTGCAGCTCTTCCGCCTGCTTGTCTGATAACAAATCAAGTGTTCCCAAGTGGTCCAAAGAATCATCAGCAGGGAAAAAATGCAAAGGTAAACTCAGAAAAAAGAATAGCATGAAGATAAATGAAACCAGAGAGGACATGGATGCTCAGTTGTTGGAGCAGCAAAGCAACAACTCCAGTGAATTTGACTCTCCCTCTCTCAGTGATAGTGTCCCATCTGTAGCTGACTCTCACTCAAGTCATTTTTCTGAGTTTAGTTGTTCTGATCTGGAGAGTATGAAAACCTCGTGCAGCCATGGTTCCAGCGATTATCACACCCGCTTTAATACCGTGAGCATTCTGCCAGAGGTTGAAAATGACCACCTAGAAAACTCTCCTCACCAGGGGGACAGTTTGCTGTTTACACCCATTGCTCCATGCTCAGAGGTTCCCCAGCTGAGTTATATTGCTGAAGAATGCACCTGCAAGGGGACTTCCAATAGTGCAGGGGTGAATAACGGTGAAACACTGAAAGAAAGAAACAACAACCATTCACCCCAGGTTATGGAGTTAAGCACTTCAGTTCACACTGAGATTTAAGCCTGTTATGTGCTGCAGAAATATATTTACCACTAAAGAGCCTTGCCAGGCCACTTTAAGAAGCAAGGCTTCAGTGCAACTTACATTTGGATATATGTCTCTATTAAGGCTTGCGTGGCACTTTGTGAAGTGACATGAAGATTATAACAAGTGCATTACAATAAAACATTATACTGATGTTTTGTATTTTTGCCATAACTTTGCTGAAAGTCTGTATTTGATGAACTTGAATGGGGAAAATTGGCCACTTGTAGGTTTCATATAAAACCTCAGTATGGATTTCAGGTATACAGCACAAAAACCAGTCTCTGGTCAAGATGTGTTGCTGTAACCATACCAAAAAATACATTCTGATAATATCATGTTAAGTAATGTTGAAACACATTCTTTAAGCAAGGTTATGACATATAGCATAACTTTAAATTAAAAAGAAATTGGTACTTGATATACAATAGGTAGCAAAGTGACGTCTCCTTATCAGAAAGTGGGGGTAATTTAATTATATTTGCAATTGACAAAAAAATAGAAAGTTTACGATATAAGGTGTATAAAGTTTTTGTACAATGTAAGAGCAATTAATTTGTTACCATGGTAGAAAACCTGATATAGTCACCTTTAGCAGGGGACCTCAGTTATGCTGTTTAATTCTTGGTGCCTTTGAAAAAGACTGGGTTTATAAGTGCCTGGTCTGATGATTTCACTGTTAAGTTTTCCAGAATGTTGTCAGTTGCCACCTTCTTGGAATCTGGAGGAAAATTTCAGCGAATCAACTAACTGTGGTAGATTAATAGGATTCATAATACTGAAGTATTAGCCTACCAAAGATTCACTCAGGCTTTTAGCAGATAACTTTTCTGACATCATTTTGCAAATCACATGCACAGAAAAAAAGCACAGTGCAGAGCTTGCACATCTTTGAAAATGGGCTCTAAAAATGGTTGGCTCGCAGCGAGGGGTGTGCCACATGTCCTGCTTATGGTTCAGCTGAACACGAGTTGAAGCTCACTTAAGCGCCTGCACTGTTAAATGTTTGCCACACAAGTCGTAATGATGTATGCTCTCTTCCCTCCTACAAGAGAGAGAAAAGATTTGGATTTTGGCACAGAAGCCTTCAGTAATTTGGTTTTGTGTTTGTGTGTGTGAATGAGGCATTTTTTTTGTAAGTATTGCCATTATGGTGCTACTGAAAATTTATGAGAAGAAGGTTGTTATGGGCCGCAGCCATCTTCTCTGGCTTCCTTGATTATTTTCTTTAATCAGCTTATAACACTAGTGTCAGATACATTATTTGGTAATGCTTGTTATGATATTTGTATATTTGCTATTTTTTGTTTGCTCAATGGAGTGTGTAAACTACATACCTGAAATAAATGTCTGAGTACTATTTTATTGTCTTCTGTCCTTAGAACAAAGGGTTTTTTGTAGACTTTGATTTTATGTTGCATTGTGCTGAATTACATTCTCTCCTCCAGACATCTTTCACATCTACTTTATTGATGTCAGAAGAGCAGAACTCCTGTAAGAATCAGGCTTCATATTGGGGAAGGACTGTTCAGCATACATAAGCTTTACAAAGTGAAACAGTTCAGATTCCAGCTCTTTCCAGTTAAAATTGTCCACTGTTAGCATTGTGAAGATGCCTTGTTAGATGTAATAAAAGATCACTACCCAGTTTGCCAAACTGAATTGATGGGTGTATCTACTTGTTATAAAGTATCTTCTTATAAGATGTGGAATTAATTGGATCTAGACTTGCCATTCTATGTACATCACCACCCTTTGTGTAATTGAATTGAAATTTGGCTGCAGGGAGAAGACAATTTTCACTAATTGCCTATATTTCCAGATCCATTCTGTTGTAAAAGGTCCACCAGTCTTATTTTATCTTATGTCTTATATTTGGTTGTCTTTATTTGGAAAGTAATATTTTTTCAAAAGTTTCTTTGCTGTGATGAAAAATTATGAAAAAGTAGATCAAAATTTCAGCTTGTGTCATACCAGCTGAACGTATAAAGTGGTTAAAAAACACATTTTAACTGTATTTTACTCTTTAAAAGTTGCTAACTACAATAAATCTGGGCCAAAATACTATTCCTGCTAGTTCCCAGTCATAAGAAAAATTATATTTTATAATATGTAAATTATAATTTATTAATAATATATTTTAATAGTATAAAATGCTAAGTTTAACTTCTTAAATATCCCTACCTAAACAAATTTCAGAAACAACATTTCAGAAACAACATTAGAATGAACAATATATTTTGCATCTTAATATACTAGGTTGCTGTCAGATGTAATTTTATGCAAGTTTCATTTAGAATTCAGGCTTAATTATGATTTCTCTGCAACATCTCCCATATCCAAAGAAATAAATGAATTGAGTATTGGGAATTAAGAGCTATTTCAACAAGAAATCAAAGTAAGTTCCAGCTGTATGTACAACATCCTCTAATTTGCATATGGAACTAATTTACTCCATGAAATTAATTTAAATCAAATTAAACTGCAAAAACAATAGTTACTTACAGGAAGTGCCTTTGGAATCGCTAAAGGATGGATCTGACAAAAAGGCATTATTTATTTCTCTAGCTGGAAGACAGGTATTAAAAATCCTTCTAAGAAGGAAACTCCTCCTTTACAAGAATACTGAGTTAAGTCAGGACAAGATAATTCTTGTTTAGCGATCACAATTGGGATTGGAATCTTAAATAAAGTGGGAGCTAAGGGAAACTGCATTTGTGCTTAATGATCTTCAGCTTTCCTTGCTTTACAGACCTGCAAAAGTTACGAACATGAGGACTGATAGCAAAATTACTTTTTCATCACTGCTATAACTGAATAGTTGCTAAATGAGGCAGTTGCTCAATGAGGATTACTTGTTTAAATTTAATTTATAAAAATTAAAGCAAAACATCAGAAAAATGAAAAAACAATATATAAAAATAATAAAACAGAAAGATTGAATAATGTGGATTTTTAATGTCCGCATTGATGAATTGTCTCTCCTGCAGGATCAGACTAATAGGTCTATCATTCAATGATCAGAATGGTACATCATGGTAAGTTCTACTACTGTTTTCAATCACCAAAGATGGAATTGTCAGGAAAGGAATGTTCTGCAATAGCATCCTTAGAGGGGGTCAGTAGAGATTAATGATGCATCTATAGCAGAATCCAAGGCACAAAACTTTCTTAGAAATCTTACAATAAAAGGCAGATTTACCTGCTTGCAAATTTCTATGGAAATCATGAAGCTCCAGTTGAATATATGACTCCCCCAATCCATCTAGTTGGCTGACAATCCAAATCTGAGATTTTAGATAAGAAAATAAAATTGCAGCTTGCCATACCACTTTACAGTTCCTACTTCTATTTTTTTTAATATATTGTTTTTTTAATTTTAACAAAAAGTATTTAAAACACACCATGGTGTTTGGGCAAACAAACATTCCAAGGGGGAAAAAACATACAAAAACAGCTCAACTTAATACATTCACTATCATCTCTCTATTTCTCACAGATAACATAATAGATTTAATATACCGTATTTTCCGGCATATAAGACGACTTTCTAAACCCTGAAAGTCATCTCAAAAGTCGGGGGTCGTCTTATACGCCGGGTAGCTGTTCTCTGAATTTAAAACCAATCTGCCCCCTAGTGGCCAGCCCTATTTTTTTTACAGAAATAAGCACTAACAGTGTTTCTCAACCTTGACAATTTTAAGGCATGTGGACTTCAACTCCCAGAATTCCACAGCCAGCAGGACAAAGCATTCAAAAATTCCATTTAAATTTTTAAATTTTTCTTTACAAATGTAAACCCAGCAAACACACTGTTTACCAACTATTAAGTGATTTATGTTTTAAAAAATCAATAAAATATATGGGGAAAAAAATACCAGCTGAGTTCAGGAAGCATTAGGGAAGCAGTGGTGGGCAACACTCGCTTTCTAGCAGCAAAGGAATGGAGCTCCTATTGTGCTCATCTATAAACAGAAATTCAATATTGTACCGTATTTTCCGGCATATAAAACAACTTTCTAAACCCTGAAAATCTTCTCAAAAGTTGGGGGTCGTCTTATATGCCCTGTCGTCTTATACGCCGGAATATACGGTATTCCGTTTCTAGCTTAAGTTTCTATTACTACTCAGCCTGTTTTAAAGCTTTATCAATTTAGAATTACCATAATCAAATATTGTTTTACATCAACAAATTATCACTTCAAATATCTCTACCAAGTATATTAAAGTTCTTAATCTCTCTCAGCCCTCTTTTTATCATCAATCTCATTCATTTCTTCTTCCAATGATAACTAATTTAATTAAAAAAAACAGTTAAACCTTAATTCCTTTCAATTCGTTACACAAATTTCAAATTCCATTCTATTATCATACCTTATCAACCATAAAGCCAAAGTTCTTTTTTCCAAACAAATTTCCATACAACAAAAAAACACGTATGTATATAATTGTAGCTAACTTAATTAAAAGAAAAAAAGAAAAAAAGAAAAGAAAAATCCTTTCAATTCATTACACAAACTTCAAATTCCATCCAATTAATTATCATACTTTATCAGATCATATTATTATCAAAAATCACCTAAACAATTTAAGCATTTCAAAATTCCATTTCCATAACTGAACATTTTTTCAATTCCAGAACATATATATCTGTATGTATATGATTATATATTTTCTATCCTTAATAGACTTTCAAAAAAAAATCATCTAACTAATTTAAACACACATGTATATAATTGCATTTTTCTTACTTCTAACTTTAAATCATTATCCTTAAAACTATCCATAAAATCAGCATTGCCTTTTACTCCATTAAACATTTTTTAATTTCTTTTTAAGTCTAATTCTGGGTTTCTTTTTATGCCACACAGGCTTCCATAAAAGTGCTTCCCTTTCAACCAATAAATCCATTCTTGTTGCTTGTAGTAATCTTTGAAGGAATATAAGTCCCTTCCTCTGAAGTAAACATCTTTTTTCCCTTTCAACCAATAAATCCATTCTTATTGCTTGTAGTGGTCTTTGAGGAAATATAAATCCCTTTGTCTGCAGTAAACATCTTTTCCTGTTCTCCTTGGAACGTAGTTGCTTTGTAGTTAAAAATCTTGGTCTCTGCTTCTGCTGGTTCTCTAAGTTGCTGAAGAAAGAGTTGTCAGATGAAGTAAATTCCTCTTCTATCTCTTTAGAATCATCTTCTGGTACATTTTGATTTATGCCATAGTCAATTGTAACCTGAACATCAATTTGAGCAAATGTAGTAGAGTCTCTGGATCTTAATTCTAAGTTAGAGTTTTTAATTGTAGCACATATTTCTGCAGTGGCCTCATAAATCCTTTCCAATATAAGTGCATAGTTCAGTTGTAACTGAGGTTTCTCCATTTTAATACTAATGCTTAAAAGAAGATCTCTTTTTCTTTTTTGTGAAGGCTATATTTAATACAAAAAACATCCACCCCCACAGCTTCACAGGTGCACAGCTTTAGTATTTTGAAATTCAATAGAAAAATAAGCAAAGTTGCAGTATTGAACTTTCGCCACTAGATGCCTTCAGTTAATTAAGAAAATATTTTCCAAAAATCAATTCCTTTTTTCTGTCTTTTGAAGTATAATATATATATAAAGAAATGGTACAGTTCTTAAAAAGAGAGGAGAGAGAAAACCTTTTCCATCTTTTTTTTCCTTTTTAGTATCCAAATAGAAGTAAATAGTCTTTCAGTGTTTGTAAAATGCCTTTCTTCCCCCCAAAAAAGCAGAAGCCGCCTTTCCAAGCCAGAGAAATAATTCCAGAGGCTCTTACAGGTACACAAACAAAAAAATCAGAAAAGAGAGAAAAAAACAAGAAAAAATTCTCACCCGGATTCACCATGGGGGCACTCTTAGCTTAGATGTTGTCTGACTTACAGTCTGAAGCGGCAGGGCAATCGGCCATTTTACTAGCCGATCTTCTTTGTCAGCCCTCCGAGATTCGTCCGGATAGCTGGAGGAGCTGCCGCTCCTCCATATCTGGACAGCAGCCTCCTCGACGGAAGTCGCACCCTCCAGGGCGACTTTGGACCTGTATAAGGGTCCACCGACGGAGGGAAACCTAGCCGATGAGGAGAGAAGTCTCCCCGTGCGATTAGTGACGCCACAAACCGGAACCAGAAGTGCAGTTCCTACTTCTATTATGGCTGTGGCCATCTCTGTACCAAGCCTCTCAGCTGATTTAATACATATTTATAAATTATTTGGATGAAGGGTTAAAAAGTATAGTCACATTTGGAGATGAATATAGATACCAAACCCCTCAGAGGAAACTCAAGATTCAAAAGGACTTTGACAAGCTGGAACAATAGGTAGAATCTAGCAAGATGAATTTCAACA